ATCTTTTAATGTGTCAAGAACACCATTCCAGTCTCCCATAACAATCAAAGAATTATAATCCATAGCCACAATTTTCTGATGTAATTGTCTATAAAATTGTTTTTGGGCTGAAAGTTGGTTAGGGGCATAAACCCCTATTATTAAACACTTTCTTCCATTTAAGTTTATTTCCACAAATAAAAATCTTCCTTCTTTATCAACTTCTTTTAAAATAGGTGAGAGGTGTCTTTTAATATATATTGCAACCCCAGCTCTTTTTTTTAAGGCAGATGCAACAAACAAATCTCCAAGCTTAGAGTTCAATAATAATTTTTGATCTTTAGCCACAATATGAGTCTCTTGTAAACATGTAATATCATTGTTAAAATGTCTTAGGTAATAAAAAATCTTACGTCTTTTATGGGGAACATTAAGTCCACCCACATTCCAGGATATAAGCTTACACATTAGCAGGTTTCAATCCACTGACGATACTTGATGCATAAGACTTAACAAAAACCTTAGGTCGAGCGCCACCTACTGGCTCAGAAATAGCAGGTAACAGACAGTCAGCTGTAGGGCTATCAGCTGTAGGGCGGGCTGTCATCTGTCTTTCCTTCTCCTTGCGTCTATGGGCTGCGCGGGTGATTCTTTGTTCCTTCCCATCAGCTTTTAAACTCCCTTCTACATCCTGAACGGGAGCAGAAGGGAGGTCCACAATCATTTGCTCAGTTGCGTCGATCCTTTGAGATGTGGGTGGGCATTCTGCTTGCAAAACAGACGCCATAAAATCCTTAGCTTTCTTAATCGAGTTAAGTCGATAGCGTTTGCCAGCCAATGTTACAACTATGCCCACCGGTATGTCCCATCTAAAAATTATTTGTCTATTCTTAAGCTCCTGTGTCAGAAAGGCATAGTCTCGGCGCGCTCTGAGTATTTTCGCTGGGATTTCTTTTAAAAGAATAATGTCTTGATTTAAGATCTTAAATCTTTGTTGATAAAAGAGCTGCATTATTTCATTTCGTCTCG